TATATATCGTGTTTAATTTACTCCTTTTAGACTCCTTTATTACAACATATACATTGCGATTCTAAGGAGACGTTTACAATGAGAGAAATTTTTTTTTATTGTGAAAAATTTTATCATTAGCAATATTTTTTATTTTATTATTATTATTATTATTATTATTATTATTATTATAGGAATAAAGTCACACTTCTAATTACAACTCATTATTTAAGGTGGAGATTGAATTTTGATCATTAGTTAAGGAAGGACATGTGTGGAACTACTTAAATTGATAATTTTTTGTTATATATATATATAATTTAGTTTGAAAAGGTTGGACTTTCGCTCTCTATGGTGTATCACTGCAATTAGTAATTTGAATCATGTAATTTTCTTAATAGAAAAGTGAGTGACGCTGGTGTTTTTAATTTTTAAATATTTTAACAAAAATTATATATATAATTAAAATTGCACAAAATATCAAGTGTGAAGGAAAATTTATAGATAATTAATAGTTTAATAAATATAAATTAGTATATATTAATATATTTTATAAATATATAAATGTATTAATTAGTTAAGATATAAATATATTAGAAGAAGGATATTTCGAAATATATGATATAAATATGAAATTTTATGACTAAAATATGTAAATTATATGCTTAATATTTATATCATATTTTTTAATTAACCTTTTTCTAAAATATTTATATTTGTCAAATTATTAATTAATCTATTAATATATAAAAATACAAATAATATTATTAATAATTAATAGTATATCTTTTATTAATTAAATTTTAATGCAAATAATATAGGTTTAGTTATCCTTTGATGTGTTTTATATTTAGTCGATAATTAGGAAGCATATTAGTTGAATTTACTTGTATTAATAGTTGTTTAGGTCTTTAATTTCTTTTAATTTCATTGCATATTTTTCTTTTAAATATATAGGCCTTGGGTTTTTTCATGCATGAATGAGCTATAATTGTTTATATTGATGATAAATGGAAGCTTGTTAGTACATATTAGACCTTCATCAAGACTTTACATGATCATCAATCACCTGTTTGGAAGGGAACTTCAAGACCTAACATGATCATCAATGACATGTTTGGAAGGGAAATAAGGAAGATTTTGGAGTAGAAAGCAAAATGGCATGGACATTAATTCAATCTGTTGTTACCTGAATCTTGCGGGTGTCTAATGTACAACTTAACTTGACTGATATATGGCATCCTTGATGCATTTGTCACGGGTGTGTAATCCATGTGATGCTCCTGTGTATTAACTTGTTTAATAACATTGCAGGCACAACTTGCATGGGCGTGCCAATTAGCTTGTTTTTGGATTTCAAATGTGTTTTTATATCTTTCACTTGTAAATTGACCATATTTGGTTCTTAGGTTATATATAAATATTTGAAAGGTTGTAGACAAGGAAGATGAGTTGTGACTCTTAGACAGAGAGGGAGATCTAAAGATTCGTTTTGGCCTTCTCTCTTTTAATTTGTGCAATCTTCTTTATTTTTATTCTTTTTGAGAATTACTCGTGGACATAAGTAGTTCCTCTTTTTCTAAGGTTTGGGCTTAGCCCCGATAATGGTTATTTTAATTTAATTTCTTTGAGAATCTTCACTTTACTCTTGATTCTTTGTAACGATTAACTACCATCTGGAATAATTAGAAAAACATGGAATAGAATTGAAAGGAGAATCTAGCTCGTTGGACGTATAATTGAAGAACCCAAGATTTAATTAATTCACTACGATAGAAATAATCTTAGAAGAATAAAATAAACTAGCATAAACTTTAATGAATCTAATTGAATATAACTATCATAATAATAGGAATAAATTTAGTTAGATACACATTCATATCTTGAAAAAGAACAAAAACTATCTTACATTAAATTGTCTATAGATAAATTTCTTTGAACTTTGATTTAATTGAATTAAAATAATTATAACTTTGATTTATAGTTAAAAACATTTCATAAACATTTTTAGTCTCTATTGTTTATTTCTATAAGGATTAAAAGGTTTAATTTTTGCAACTATAAGGATTAAAAGAAAAAAAAATGATATTTATAAGAATTAAAATAAAATAATTTTAATTATAAAATCTAAAAGATAAAATGTATGAAATTATAGAGACTAATTAAACCTAAAACATAATTATTTTTTTTCAAAATTTACTTTCCAAAAGAGTAATTATGTTGTTTCAAAAAAACACTTTTCAAAAATACACTTATAAGAATAATAAACCACAATTTTAAAAATTATTTCCTAGTAACAATAAAAATATATTTTTTCTAATCCGTCATACATCGTAAAATAACAAGTCATCTTTTAAAATGATGAATTATTAATCCAATTAGCTCAATTTTTTTAAGGATGGGGTTCTTCTTTTTTAAAAATATAATAAATAAAAATATTTAAATAAATTAAAAAGTAAAATATTTAGCTCCTTAAGAATTTCTAAAAATAATTAATTGTGGAAAATCTAGAAAGTTATAATTAAAATAAAACACATCATATTATATATCTTTCTCAAAATAAAGGCCCTTTCTCTTCTTGGTTTCATAAAAAGAATGAAAAATAAACATTAATTTTTTAGTCAGAAAATCTCAACACTTGGTAAAACTTTTTTTTAAAAAAAAGTTAATGTGCTGCTTTTTTCCTTGTCATTTTCCGAGGAGTGAGGTATTTACTTATTGAAATATATATAATTTTCACTAATCCTTTTAATAATGAAAATAATTGTTTATTATGTAGATCAATTGGGTCAATATTTATAATTAGATTATTAATAAATCATCTAATATATTTCTTAAACTATTTGGTATACACCACACCACCTCTATGACCGAAAGTAATATTTTAGTGTAAAGAGTTTATAAGGGATGACAAAGTGTATTTGATATAAATATAAATATATATATATATATATATATA